CTGTGACACTATCATTCTCCCAGCCATACATATGCGCATGCACACATCACTCCTTGTGGAAAAGGGATGTCAAATCTCCCAGCTAGGTGGGCCAGTGGCACTGAGGGAAAATTGAGGAAGTGACTATACTAAGAACTATGATTGTTTCTGGGAGTCCCCTCCGGTAACGCTGCCCCTGAGCCGAGAAAGCGAATCCTCGTGAGAACTAAAAGGCCACGGAACCTGTGGCAAGAGGCCAGGCAGAGAACACAGGAGACCACCACCAAATTGGGTAGAATTGGGTTAGCCCTTGCAAACATCCTGGCCAAATCCACTGATACTAACCTCCAGCCATTTTTACCTCAAATGCCAAGGGTCCACCTGGACGAGGAGATAGGCTGCAACCCACAGTACCTCTGGAATCTTAGCAATTCTAAGACATGGACAAGACTAAAGATCAAGTGCGCATCCGGGAATAAGGGGCCAGTATGGGGCCAGGACACTCCGCAGTTTCTACCCTTCCCTCCTGGACTCCAGAAAGCACCCAGGCCCCAGAGAACAGTCCTTGGGGCCATATGGAGTCATGGCAGGTGAGTTCTAAGACCAAGCAGAAGGGATATGCTTTGGTAAAGCTCAGGTGGGACTTGCAAGCCTGAGGACAAGAGGCAAAGCAACACCCACTGCAAAGTCTCCACCGCTCAGCTGTGTAAACAAATAAAATGGTCCATTTCTCCTGGAGCCTCTCCTAGTTGTCTTTGCACAGGCACATAAGCGGGTGCATGTGCACGCGCGCACACACACATGCGGGCGCGTGCACACACAGACCACTTCACATCTTAAAAGAAAAACAACCAAGAAAGGTCTACACAGTTTGTTTTTGCTGTGTGTGGAGTTATTTTTTCCTAAATCACATCTGACTTGGTGTTAAAACATCAACCTTTGGCCAAAATACTCTTAAAACAAAGGCTTAATTGGTTCTGAAGTAGCCCTTCTGAAAACCAAGGGAAATTTCTTCTGTGGGTCTTGACCTTGATTACAACACTGCTCTTGGGGTTGGAATAATGATGAGTGGAGGAGTCTCGGAAGAGCTGTCTTCAGGGAGGCAAGAGGGATGCCTAAACATTCATCCACATTCTCTGGAAGGCATCTGCAATGTGTGGGTCACCTCTGCATTCAGCCTGCAAAATCTTCCCAGGTTAATGGAGACAGTGGGAAGAGTTCCTAGGAACGGAGGCCAAAAGCCAAATGGCTGTGTGAAGGCAAACTGGCCTTTGACCACACCTAGCTCATTTTACTGCTCCCCTCCTGTGTATCACTCACATACCTACAACCGCTCTGCCAGGGCACTTCAGTGACGACGCTTGAAAACCGGCATTCAAAGCTCTCTCAAAAGATCGATGCAAAGCTAAATACACGTTACCCCATGTCTCTCCAAGGCCACTCTTAGATATGAAGAACAGAAACAGACACACAGATTCCTCCAAAAGATGGGGGTGAGAATGTTACTAGGACCTTATTTATAATAGCAGAAAACTGGAGGCAATCCAAAAATCCAATAACTCAGAAAGGATGTGTGCATTGTGTCATACTCCTAGTAGAATACTAATGGCCATAAAAAGAGCAAACTATTGCTATACACAATAGCAGGAATATAACTCAGACATAATGCTGAGTGGGGCCAGACATGAGACAATCCATTCTGCACAATCCCATTTCAATGAAGCTTAAAAAAAAAAAAAAAAAACAGGCAAAGCTAATCAATGGCAAAAGATAAAACTATCCCATGGTGAGATTTGGAGGGGGGTGGGTAGCTGACTGGGAAGGGAGGGGAACAAGTGAGACGTCTGGGAGATTGGTAATACCCTCTCAGGGACCAGCGAACTCTAGTTGGTGGGCCAAATCCAGCCACTGCCTGACTTTATAAATAAAGTTTTATTAAGACAAGGCCACATCTATTCCTGTAGGTATAATTTTTAATTGCTTTTGTACCACAATGGCAAAGTTGAGTAGCTGCCATAGACATTATATGGCCTGCAAAGCCCAAAATATTTATTATCTGGCCCTTTACAGAAAAAGCGTTCCAACTCCACTCTATATATTGGTCACGATGATAGTTTCACACATGTTCACATGTGTAAAAGTTCATCCACCTCTCCACTAAAGATCTGTGTACTGTGCTATGCTTCCATTGTACTTCAATAAAACTTTTTAAAAGTCAGTAGAGCTAAATAACTATGCTTTTTTTAAGGCCTGTTAATTATCATTCCAGTTATACGTGTGTTAAGCACTTAGGGAGGATATGGCCATTTGTGCTCCTCTTGTCTTTTCGAAGCTGAGAGGACTTAGGAGATTGTCAAAAGCCAGGAAGATCCCAAAACAGCAATTAATATTGTGTCCGAACTTTTCACAGGAATAGGACATGGCTACAGAATGGCTCAGAGGCCATTCATATAAATGGTGAACTTGGCCAACACCTGAGATTACAGGAGATGGGAAGGGAAAGGGGGTATGGATCTCATGTGATGCAAGGTGTCATACTACTTCAGGTTATTTTAGGATATAGCTTAGGAGAGCAACAAGCTCAGCTCATACTGGAATACAGTATTTATTCAGGTTAAGCAGTTTTAAGTTTCCAGGGAAAGAAAATTCTGCCCCAACAATCACATCACATGTAAGTCTTATGCGGAGAATGACGCAAATGTACTCTACTCCAAAGTACTCAGCTGTACTCTACTCCAAAGTAGCACCATCCTCATCTCTATCCCCCACATTGCAGTCAGGCTGCCACATGCATTGGGAATAATTTTATTGTGTCTGGGGTTTCCCCTCCTCTCCCTTTGCTTCTTCTGGTTTTTACCATTTATCCTTTGATGATTAAACTAAAATTACAGCTAGATGCCATCTGGCTTGGCCTCCTTCTGGTCTAGCAGAGATTGGGGGAGAATGAACTCTGAGAACATGCCGGTGCTGGGTCTCTAATAAAATGTCTCTCTGTTTGCCCACATGGGCATCAAGCCTTAGCAAACAGAGGCAGAAGAGAACAATACCACCTGTTCATGGAGGGATGGTAATGGTCTCAGTCCTCCAAACAATGAGGCCTGTAATTCACTCCATCTTCCTCCCGAGAAAGAGCTTCACATGGCCTGCATGGTGCCAGGTGGTTTCAGAGAAAGACGACCTGCTCGGTCTAACAAGGGACGCTTCAGCAGCGGGTGTAAAGACACAACAGCTGCTCTGGTCTCGGCTGGTCTCCCAGTGACATGGCCCCAGCCAGCCTTTCCACACCAAGATAGGGATCACTATGCTATTCAACCTCAACAATTCCCACACCCCGGGCAACAGGATTTTCCAGCACTCCTCGAGACATAGCAGGCCTCAGGACACTTGCCTGTTGCATCCATCCACTCATCAAGATTTGGGGTTTGGGCTCATGCCCCATCCAAGTCCTGAGTCTGAACCAGTTTCTGTGGGGCAAGACTCTCGATGCCACTAATCAAAAGGAAGAAGGGTCTGCCAGGAAGTGTGCCAGCAAGAACAACTGCAGCATCTAGTTCAAGAACATCAGGCTTGAAAATATCTGGGACTGAGAGGGTAAAAATCAAGATAGCACTTTCCTCACCTAAAAGACACAGAGGTCAGCAGCACACTGCAGAAGTAAACAAGATATTTTAAAAAGAAGTTACTGTTGCCTTGAAATAAGTACAAAAACAGGAGGGATCCACCAAATAAAAATGTCTGCTGAGTCATACTTTTCAATGGGGCAAGAATTCACAGCTTAGCTGGGGCACAGGGCTGCTTAAAAGTCTTATCCAGGAAGGTACAGATTTGAAACAGCAGAACTACCGAGATGCAACGTGGCTAGAGTCTGGTCAGACCACACACACACACACACACACACACACAAGCTATCTGCCAGGAATGACTACAAGATAGGATTCAACGGAACAAGAGGAATTATTCAACCAACTGACATCAACTTCCAAGGAGAGAAGACCTAGAGCCAGAGCTCAACATCACAGCAACAGGTTTCAAAAGCCTCTCTTCAAAGGGTTAAACCAGAACACTCAAGAAGTTTCGGTACCATTAGTTACACCCTGAGTAACATCCATCCTGGCAAAGCCAGGCAAGGCAGACAGACGAAAATCGTATTAGTCTGCTCTCCCTCCACTCCTGCATGCTGCTGGCATCAGTTCAGTTCTGAGTCTATATTAGTCCGTGATTTGTTTAGCCTTTGGATTTAAGAGAATGGAAGTACTACGTGAGCAGGAAACAGGACACTCATCAGAAGCTGGGACCTGTCACCTCTCCCTTCCAGCACTTTTAATGACATATATCAACAGGTCCAAGAGAAATCAACATTTCAGGACAATCAGGTCAAAAGTGATATTCTTAGCACCACTTAACATGATTTGGATCCACCGGAAGCAACTCTCTGGCTGTCACACAGCCTCCTCTCCCTCCCCTCGGCTAAATTCTTCCAGTTCAGTTTGCCACTTCATCTCACTTCCAACCGAAGATTCTTCCCTGAGCCAAAAACAAGAGCCAAGCTAGGGTATATGTGCCCATCACGCCCGATCAAGAAACTTAACAAAAAACACACACTCCTCTTTCTCTCCAAATCTTTAAATCATTTTTGCAGCATTTCTGCTCATTTCTTTGTTTCCCACCCTCCGCCCAGTGAATCAGCCACCACAAGCACCATCATCACCATCGCCACCATCATCATCATCACCACCAGCATCATCACCACCAACATCACCATCATCCCCATCACCACCACCATCATCATCACCACCACCACCATCATCATCACCACCACCATCATCATCATCACCACCATCATCCCCATCACCACCATCATCCCCATCACCACCATCATCCCCATCACCACCATCATCCCCCATCACCACCACCATCATCATCATCATCATCATCTAGATTGGGGGAAGGGACAGAGAATAAAAGACACAAGAGACCTACATATTGACAATTCAAGCTTCAGGATCTCTTGCATTTCCTACCTGAATTGCAATCTGGTGTTCAATCGTTTTGTACGCAGAGTAATGTGTGCTCCCGGACTGAAAATGGAGCTGTAGAAAGAAACCAAATCAAAGCGTTCTGCTTATGTCACAAACTACAAGAAAACATCTTAAGCAGTTTATGAATAGCAGACAAACCTTCCTAGATTGAACTGCAGCCTTGGCATTCAATCAAGACCTGTGTATTTTTATTTGTTGCTATGGATAAGATGATCTTAATAATCTAAGGTAAAGTTTAAAAAAAAAAAAAGCACCTATTCAATAAGCAAAAAGGGAGGGGGAAGGAGCCAGGAGTGAGAATCAATGACATGAAAAGGAAAGACGGATGCCCATTAAAACATACAGGAAGCCAGTGTGCTGAGCAGGATGCTGCGGAAAAATTAACTGTGTGCTGCAAAAAGTCATCAGAATTGCGACACGTAGGCAAGAGGAAAGGTTGTGAGAAAGGAATCTGAGAAGCCACAAGACTGTAACAGGTACAAGCTCCCCACCTTTCTAACAACTGGGCTCTTGCCCCTAAACGCAATTCTATTTTGGGGAAAAATAAATGTGCCAGGCAGAAGCCAGGGGCCACCCAAAGCCTTATACATTCTTTGGCAATGACTAAGGTATCAGTCCCAGGACATCTCTACAGCCTGCACTCTAGGAATCCACACTTCCCCAAAGAGGGAGCCAACCACTGCCAAAGTGGCCCCTGGCTCCCCTACACTCTCCACAACAGAAAGTGAGGTCTCTCTTGGGCCTGTCCCTCTGAAGCCCTACAGATCCCCCACCCAAGAGGTGGGTGTTGCCAAATACAACGGAATACTGAGATCCCTCACCAAGTTCTCTTTTTCCCAAACAACACTTGTTAATCTTAGGATCCTATGGATGGGGAAAACAAACACCATCTGATTTTATAAACGATACAACAATCACTAAAGAATCTCAACAATATGGGAAAATGCATTTCAATTTGTACTATATGAACACGAATGAGAAGGAATTAGATGGTCCTGGGAAATCACTCCCCATTCCCCACATGGCAACAGGCATCCATTGCGATTCCACACCACTGCTGTTACTGCTCCTGTCCTACTGCTGTTGCCAGAACGCTTCTCTGTTACTGAACAAAATGTAACCTAGCTTGCAAGGGGGCTTCAGATCCAATTATTTTGTATCTTGGTCCTTGCATGAAAAATCATTCAGTCCACACGGGTTTTGGTGTGTGGGGGGGGGGGGACAAAAAGAAAAGGAAAAAGAAAGAAAGAAATTCATAAGAACTTTTGAACCAACTGAAAACAAACACAAAACAGAAGTAATCAAATTTTTTTTAAAAAAAGGTCTAAATTTATATTGCTCAAGTCCCCACTTTAGCATACAATGGGCTCTGAGATCATTTTATCTGTTCCAAATAAACAACCAAAATACTGCCTATATACAAGTCAGCTTGCCCCCAAAGCTTATTAATCAAGGTTAAAAGGGGGAACAACACAAAGGAGGCCAAAAACACGGTTTTTTTTCTTTTACCTGTCAAAGCAGAGTGATTGAATCACTGAATCAAGCTCCCTAAAACAACGCAAGATGTACACAGAGCAAGTGAAGATAAGCCCACCCCCTCACAGCCCCCACCCACTCAGAAGCAGTTCATCTAAGTGAATCTTGGAAAAAGAAAGATGAATTTGTGCCCTTTGCCCCCCTGTCCTCTCTGTGAAAACTGCCAGTCACTAAACAGTGATTGCACTAATTTCTGTGACAATTCCACATCGTCTTAAAACAATGTTTGTGCTAGGAAAGTTTGGAATTCTTGGCTAGAGAGCAGCTCTGGGGGGGGGGGCGGTGTTCCTCCTTCTAAGTCGAGAGGCAACAGTAACAAGTTGTCCCCCTTTTCAGCAGGGTTTTATTCTCCTCTTTTCCAACTGCCTGATTCAGAGCTTAATGGAAACTTGTCCAAGCTTTTCTTCCCACAAACCCTGCAGAGCCCCTAGGCAATCTGTACTCAGGGTAACCACAGGAATTTTAGATTGTCAATTAAAATTGAATGGACACCTGATAACTATGTATATGTCGTGGAAACAAAATTTCATATAATCACAGTCTTATGAATAAATTAATGAAACTGTGGCTAATCCAAACTCAATTTTCACTTGTCCGGTTCCATTCTTAATCCTTGAGTCCAATCACCACCCGGACAACACAACCCCAGAGAGAATGCCGCAATTAAAACAGTAAAAATGCAGCTGCAAGGTCCTTAAGGATCTATTTGGACAAAGTTAACACACACACACACACACACACACACACACACCATTCTAATACTACCAAGCAATGTAACTTTCCTCCTCAGGTGTCCAGCCACATGGAACAACCTGGACCAGCTCATAAATATACACTGAACAAGCTCCAATCAGATCTTCACTGCCAGCCAGCAACCACTGTGTTGGGAGAGATCCGGAGTTAAACTTCCCCCAGCTACACTGACAAAGACTTACAATTTTCTCGTTTCTCCTTTGGGTTTCCACCCCCTCTTTTCTCAAATACTGTTTTCTTAAACATACACTTCCAACTGCTTTTTTGCTTCCCAATAAAACACAAAGATGCCTTGTTCGTTATAGTCTAGCTTTTTAAGACAAAGACAAAATACAAGGACCCAGTAAAAACTTGGCATTCTGGACTGGAGCAAGAATTCATTTATCTCTCTGTAAAAATCTCTAAGGAAGGAAAGAACAAGAGATGGCAGATTTTTTTTTCTTTTTCTTTTTCTTTTTCTTTTTCTTTTTCAGAAGAGGAGGGGAGGTTCTGAGACCCAGCATGAGGCGGCCACCTAAGGTTCATCAGAGTTTCAGAGTCAGGCTCCCACATGCCTCCACCCCTAGGACCGCCCTGCTCCTGGTCACCTGCAACACCCTATGTCACTTCCTTCACCAGCTGTAACCCCATGGGCATGCAACGCGCCCTCAGCATGGTGCCTCCCTGGAGCATCCTGGGTCATCACCAAATGAGAACTCCAGGGTACTTTTCATTTAATTCCTTCCCAATGAAACTTTCAACAAAATAAACCTTCCCTTCCTGTGTGCTTGTTTACAATGGCCAAGCCCACCCACCCATTCGAACACCCCCAGATGATCTGGCCCTCACTTGTCCAGAGGAAGAAATCATGAAGATGTGGCTGTGCTTGACACAGGCTTGCACAATTCCCCAGCAATTAAAAAACCAACAATTTACAATGAACTGCTTCCCATATTATTACCATATCTAGATGTCTCTTGTTTTATTTCTAATCACTACCACTGGCCCTTAATTTGATGTTTCAGATACAAGACATCGGAGATTTCCAGAGAGGAGAGAAAGAAAAACCACTTTTTCAACCACAGAGATCTCATCCTCAAAGGTATAAGTAAAAACCCTGTGTTGGTTTTTCCAATACTCGGTGAACGTACGATGACGTTCAATTCCTTATACCTCTTCATTCCACTAAATTGCGAAGAGGTGGAGCATATGCTTTATGTTCAGTTTTTATGAATCATCTGGCTTTCTTTTTTATTTAAAGAAAAGAATCCAGATTAATTCCCCTTTTAAAAGGTTTTGGTTTGGGGGATTTAGGGTCTACTTTTACGCTGTAGCTACTACCATGAGCCACCTGAAGTTTAATTTCCATGTCATTAGCTTAAAAGACAGAATTTTGCTGTCATTAGTACATCTAAGACTTTTTCTTAGGTCATCAGTCACTGTTCAGGACAGAGACAGCATCTCTAGTCCTATGCTGTGAACCTCTTAGATCTAATGGAAAATGAACTTCTGATCAGAACTTTGGGTTACTGCCGCCTTTTCAAAAAAGTGCTAAGGGGGCCTCTGACTTCCCCAGGGAAGGCAAAACCAGTACTGACTGGTAGGTATGCCGGCTTAAACAGTCCTCCCCAGATCTAGACACCGAACACTTGTACCATCCTAAAACAACAACTTAACAAAGGCATCCCCTTTTCACTTCCTGGCATTCTCCTTCAGAAATTCTGCTGCAACAAAACGCATGCCTCTAGACACAAGAACAATCTCTCCTACTGTCTCGATGTTCCATCCAAGGTCTATTTACCCTCATTAATTTTTCTTTTCTTTTCCTCAACCTGAAACCATCAGCTATGAGTCAGAGAATGATCATTAACTTTTACAGCTTCCATACACATCCACCTACTCACATTTGGGGAAAGAAGACTTGCAACATTGCCTGAGACCAAAATCTTCCATGAAAGAAAAGGGGGGGGGGGTGGAAATCACTTCAAGAAAGCTATAGATGTAGGTCTATGGGGGGTGGGGGTAGGGGGTTACATTCATTGTTTTTCCACTTGGTACTGCAATCTGGTGCAAAAATAAAATAAAACTTCAACTTGGTTACAGTGATAGGCATTTCTGGGCTGATTTCTGAAGAAAAATGAGAAGATTTTCTTCAAACAGCAAAACATAATTAAAGTTCTTAAACTGGGGGAAGGGGCGGGGGGGGGGGGAGAGAGATGAAGTGAATCAAGTTTCCTGCTCTTGTACGAAACACATTTCTAGCGTATAAAAACACGTGGGCTAAGGTGCTGAGACATGTTCCTAACACAGCATTTTTCATTAAAAGTTGCTACATTAACACTCTTAAAATGATGCCCTATCATTACTCCACTTAGCAGTCACAGCTCTGCAACTCATAACGAATTAATTTGCATTAATGTGGGTTTCATGTGTCCTTCCCTGGGTATGCCATTGTGATTTGGGCTTAATAAAACTGACAAGACAGTAACATAGTGCCTTTTATTTCACTTTCCAAAACAAACCAACCCACCCGAAGACCCACACAAATCCTCCCGATTTTTTAAGCATTTTGCTAATATATTTAGTACATCATAATTGGCCCAGCACGCAGGGACCTAGTTATCTTCTCAGTAAATATTTATAGCATCATTCTTTCCCATTCATTCTGCATTTTCTTGGAGAATCTCACTGTAGCCTACATCTGCAATTCATTGACTTTACAATTTACCACATGTTGGGATGGGAGAGGTCCTAGCTCCATTTGAATCACTACACAAATATGC